CCATAGTGCTGGTCTTTTAATCACTGAGAACAAAATGACCTAAGGTGTAGCATCCCACTGCTGTTTCTTTGGGAACCACCTTGATGTGTAGGGACACTTTGACTGTCTCTAACCACCATTACTATCAATGGCAATTAGATATATACATTTTTGTGCTTGGGAAAAAAAGTAAAAATACAAGGCTATTCTGTGAGACCTGCATCTGGCACACTCAGAGCTATTCAAGTGCAAGAACTTCTGGCATCTTATTTGGTGACTAAAGTTTGGTTACAATCCAGTTGCAGGGATTGGAACAAACTGAATTTCGTAAAAGTGGTTCGGGTTTGAACACAATATCAGAACCCCAAAAACCTGATTTTCGACTTAGGTTAACATGTGGACTCACATGTTAATATTTTGGTTTGATCCATCTCTAACTAGCTGGATGAAACAGTATGTAAGAACTGCTTTCTGAGCCTCATGGTATACTTCACTGAACAAAAAGAGACTCGGGTCCCACTTCCCATTAGTACCTTCCTTGCTTCCTTTCTTGTGGCAAACGTTTTTGGTACAAGTTACGTGGATCTTTTAATTGGGACTGGCCTACAGTATGTACAAACAGTGCCGAAACCCAGAGATCAGTGACCACTGACCTTTCCTCGATTCCTGCCATCGTCTTGGTTTGGCATTAAAACACCTCATTCAAAGGAAATATTTGTTTCTTGGACCACCATATGTTTTAAGAAAGGTTTATACCCCAGGGGTTCTGTATTAGATTCCAGCAGGTTACTTCATTAAATGAGCATATCAAATTTGATTGGAAGTTCTCATCAGCTTTCTGTTCCATTTAATTTTATTTTTTATACAGATGAAGAAATTACTGTTACACCCATACCCACTGACAAGCCAACTACATTACTTCACATCTACTTTATAACCACATATAATTACATAACCTCTCCGTTTATTTTCTTCCAGAACTCATGGCTCCTCATAGAATCTGTTCCGTCTGATCTAAGAGGCAGATTTTGGCCTAAAAATCAGTTTTCAAGACATTTACATGGTTTGGGTTTTTTCCTATATTGAATATTCCACATTTATTAACCACAATTTGATTCACGTAGTGCAGCAAGAGCTTCACTGATACAGTCTGGAGAGCCTGTGTTAGTGAAAGGAAAAGACAAGCCCAGCATCAAAATATTCTGCATAAATCTCATGATCGTGGGAGACCTTCCATCTTTTCAGCCCCACGCTATAAAATTTCTCTTAGCACACTGTGTTCCCTCCACTTTGTTCCTCTTTAGTTAAAGACACCACAACCACTTTCCCATCTAAAATTTCCAATCAACATTCCTCCTCAAACCCTCCTGTTCTTCATTGATTTCAGAAATATAGCAGACAGAACTGCAAAGTATTCTCACTTCACTGCATGAGGGCTACTTTGGATAAGAATGGGGCTGGCAGATTAGATTAATGTCAAAGCACATATCTGGGTAACTAAAAATAATTAGAAGGAAAATTAGCACCTGTTAGTTTTTGCAGGACCATAGTTTTATGTTAGTATAAACTCACTGAAATCAATTAAGGTAGATAACTGTAAGGCTGGATTGTAACTGTGGTGAAATGGCCACTAGCATTGTTTTTAATGCTCATCCCAAGTCGCATTCTTAAACATACATTCACAGACCACAGGGGCCATTTGTTACAATTTGTCACAACAACATTAAACAATCTGGCATAAACATATACTTTCATTTATGCCAAGAAATGCCATGCACCCCTTAGACCCCAGAGAAGGCACCAGGAAGAGCAGATGTTCACCCCTTCTCATCATCAGTCCCTGGTCTGGAAGCATTTTCATGTATGATTTTATCAACTTTAAAAGTCATGATTCAATCCTGCAGCCCTTCCTCTCATCAGTTTTATTTATTTAAGTGACTAGAGCTGCAAAAGTCTGATAAAGAAAAGCTGAAATATCAGGCTCCTTAATTCTTATTTGCTCAGATAATGCAATTGCATATTGCAGAGTGCATGAAGAGAGACTTACAACAAACCAAGGAATCTTACTGTCTATAAAATAAAACGATTCCACGTGGCTATGTTGCTGCTGCTGGCAAACTGAAATAGCTGAGGCAGCTGAGAACAAGTGTTCCTTGTGCTCTTTTAACCGGTGACAAAAATAGTGGTTGGGTTGAACTACAACTGTTCATAGATTCATGGGGGTGGTTAGCCATCTGTGGGGTCTCCAGCCCAATCTCCTGCTCAGAGCAGACACAGTAGAAGCAGGCTGCCCGGAGCCTTGCCCAGCTGGTTTTGAGCTTCTCCAAGGATGAAGATGTCATGCACTCTCTGCGCAACCTGTTCCAGGACTTGCCCACCTTCACTGTAAAAATATTTCCCTTGCACAAAGCCAGAATGTTCCAACTAGTGCCTTTTGCCTCTCCTCCAATACTCCATCTCATCCCACTGCAGACTATCTTGTATGATGTACAAAACCAACAGTATCACTGAGCTCTACTGAAGGATGCAACGGCGTGGGACCACTTACCATATCAGCATCGTGAAACATGAGATCCCCTTCTCCCCTCCCACAGCCCTACAGAAATGAGAAAGAAAGTGCTTTGAGATTGTCTGTCAGAGGAAAGCCACTAAAACTGGTACCTGCAGTTAAGAGGAACACCAGAGCATGGTTCTGGTGAGGGATCAGGCACAGTGGGGCTGTGGGGTAACACCACTCCTGCCCGAGGCAGTACCTGTCCTGTGCACACATGGGACACTGCTGCTGCTCAGAGCAGTCAACCGAGACATACACTGCAGTGGCTGAGGGGAAAGCAAACCGCAGAGCAGACATGATCCACGCTCACCCTGGATGGTTGTTCTTCATCTCAGCCCATGCTGGACGTGTCAAGGTCACACACACTATAAAATCACGCACCTAATCAGGCTCTGCAGGGATTAAGCTGAGCCACAGCTGAGGAACCATCTATGCCAGAAGAATACTGCCATACAAAAGCAACACCAACACATAATTGAAATAATTTATTTACCACTAGAGCACCACAAAAACAGACATACAATGTGTTAAAATACAGAGTAATCGATCACCAAAGTACAACACAGCTGTCCTTTAAGTTCCTTTTTATTTTCTCCTTTAAACCATGCCAACCATACAATTGTATTGATGCTAAACATAAAAAAATGCTGTCCTATCCCACCCAGCTAAGTGCTAAGATTCCCCCTCAGCCCCAGTCAACCCCTTGGGTCTGATCTTTCAAGGTGCTGAACATTTCCCACCAGTTCTCAGGGACTTTGCTCAGACAGGGGCAACCAACTTGTCATGATAAAGTCTCTGGCACAAAGTCATTGAGCTGTTGCAGACCCATCTAAACATCATCCAAGGGGGATTTACATTAGACCTGAGTGGTGCTTAGGACTCACATTACCCCACTCTGTAGAGGGGAACTTCACCCATGAGTTCTGCACATTGTAGGATCAGGTCTAACATCCTTGGTAATTAAAGGGAAATATATGCCTAATACACAAACAAAAAAACTGTAGGAGCATTATAATAGAGTATTTCAAATACTATCAGTGCATTTTCAGGAAAAAAAAAAGTATTCAATATTGGGGTAATTACTACAGAAATTATATTTAAATTTAGAGAAAAAACTCCAAACCCAAACTGAAATTTTCAGCTGCGTCCAGCGCATAGTGAGTACAGTTGGACAACTATGCTATCTCCTATTCCACTTTTTCAAAGCTTCAAAATAGATTTTGAACTGCATTCCCGTAGTAGAGAATTGCAAAAATGTTAAGTTTTTCAAAATGTGTTCATCCTTGTCTCCTTTCCTGTCCAACAAAAATACAGTTCTCATACTGAACCTGATAAAACTGATTTTGCTGCCGTATACAACAAAATCCAGAGTATTTACTACCCTGAGGAGTTTCACTGAGTTCAGTGCATCTTCTCACTGGAGTAAGTCTGGCTCAATAAAGTGTTAGCAGGACAGATTTTTCACTTGTTCATCTCAACTCACTAAATAAACTGGAAGTCTAACATACCTCCTCCTCTGCGCTGAGTCAACGGGTGGGATTAGATCATCTGTGGGGCTATGTTTCCATCTAGGCAATAAGCACAGGTTCTACTGAAGTCCCGAGGAGCTGCGTGTGCAAGCCGGTGTGGCACTTCAGCTTTGCATCACTGTTCTGCTGAAGCCAAAGAAATTGTACTTCGTAAAACTGGAGCTGACAACATCAAGCTCAGGAGCATCCTCCCGACACTCCTCGGTCAACGACAGAAAACATCCTTCTCATCCAAGTAGTATGTTTCTAATGTAGTTTTCCAGCTTTGCCGTGCAAAACCATTCATCATGTCAAAAGAACTGAATGCGCCTTCTTCATGATTATTTTGCTAATTTAGGTTGCAGCTTTTTTACAATGAAGAGTATGAATGCTGTGCATTTTTTTTTTAACTCTACCATATTTAAACATGCTTAACAACAACAACACCCTAGAAACTTCATGTTCTTTTTTCCTCTACTTTTTTTTTTTAAAAAAGCTTTAATGTGAACTCAATTGAAAAAAAAAATCAGCAACTCACAAAAAATCAAAGGTCTGATCCTGCTAATCCTTACACACGCACCAATAGCCTAAAGGGGCCTGCTGCAGAAGTTAAAGGCAAACCTCTGTTACCTGCAGCAGGGGCAGGATCAGTCCCACGGACTAACTGTGGGGGCAAGTCCCCACTGTGTGCGAGGCTGACGCGGCCTCTGACTGCAAACCAATCCCGCTCATGCCACATTCGGGGCATCGCCGCGGCAGACGCTTCCTACCAGCCTTCTGCACAGTGGTGAATGTCATTCTCTGCAAGGGTTTGCCTCGCCTTAGCCAGGCTGGGACATCTCCTCTTGCAACACCTCACTCCCTGCCCATCTGTTTGAATGTCTATAGCCGAAAGGAAATAAAAAGGTCTAGGAATCCGAACCGCATCGCGATTCAAGTGTTACAAACAGGGATGACCAAGGAGGGAGGGGAGGGAGAGAGGGGGAGATAATTTTAATCCATCCTTTTTATAAAACAGAAAAACAAATGGAGTCAGGTAGCTTATGTCATAATGATGAACAATATACAAAGCACATGTATAGCAATTATTATAAAACATGTATTTGTAGTGCAAGTCAAAATATAGGGACTCTACTCATACTGGCCAGCTAGAGGGAAACACGTGATTCTGAGTGATCAAAAAGAGCCCCAAATTCAAATTCAAACTCATGAGAGCTGACAGTATTACAGAGTACAAAAATATGGTGAAAATTTACACATTACACATAAAGTACTTAATTTTTTAATAGTTTACAAATAGAGATCTACAGATATGTTTCCAATTAAGCTGGCTTTTACTACCCACCTATTGTAATACTCTAGGTATGGTTACATATACCAAAAGAACAAAAAAATCCCATAGCATAGCTATACAGCAACATATTAAGGTCTGAAGATTAGACCAGTACATGTTAAATATTTCACTGGTTTACTAAACTGACATTTTAAATCATTTACAGTAAAAAAAAAAAAAAAAAAAATCTTACAGACTTGTCTTTGAGACAGAATCAAAATGTCCTTTATTAGTAAATTATTCAGTATTTAAAACAAGGGTTTGAGACCTTACAAGAAGCCTCCCCTAGGCAGCTGGCATGAAAAAGAACATATTTTAAAGGCAGAGTTTCTGAATAGTGTAATAATTCATTTCTATTTTAATTGAACTAAACTAACCATTACTTTTCTGATTCTTTTGAGCTTGTGTTCCTTTAGGCTTTATATGTATTTCTGGCAGTTATTTGGTCTCCACTTTGTCCACATTGGCCGTTTTTCTTTTTTCCAATGGCGATACGGAAATGTTCATTTGATAGTTTTTACACACAAATAAATAATGCGCTGTTAATTCTACAACTAAGAGGAATGGGTAGGATGCCTATTGCGTAACAATACAGAGAGATCAAGTAAGGCACGGGACAGCTACAGCAACTCCACTTCATGGGATTTTCCTGTTTTTTTCCTTTCACGTAGTAACACTAACAAATTTCTTCCAGTGTTTATTTTTTAAAAGGTTTTTTTTTTTTCTTTAACTTTGCTTCTTGTCTATCTCACACTATGTTTAGGTGAAATGTAGGATAAAGGCCTTCAATGTTTTGCTTCAGATGCCAGTTTAAAAAAAAACAAAAACAAAAACTTTCGAACAGTCCAGACTAGTACCGCTTTTTTTTTCTTCTTTTTTTTTTTTCTTTTAACACTGATGAACCTGGGTTTTCTTGTCTTTCTTTCCTTCTCACTCTCTCTTTTTTTCCTTGGTTATTTTTTTTTTTTTAATACACACGCGTCGTGTTGTTTCAGGGGTATCCTTTAGCTGCACTTGCAAGACTTTACGATCATGTTGGACAGCTGCTCGATTTTGGGTGTCTTGCCAATGTAGTAGAGGATGGTGAGGGGTTCCAAATCCTGGGACACACAGCACGGAGAGGCAGAAGCTTCTGGATTTATGGTGTTATACAAGCTGAGAACCTAGAAGGAGAAAGGAAAAAAGAGATTAAGTCAGCTACCTCTGTCTTCCTGCCACTGCAGAGCAAATTCCCTTCTGCATCGCTTCCTCCCACAGAGCCCGAGAGAAAGCACACTGAAAGTAGTATGAAATTCCTGGATTTTAATATCTTTTATTCTTCTTCAGTTCAATCTGGTGTCACAATCTGTTTCCTAAGGTTTTATGCATACAGTCTTAACTCTCTAAACAGGTACATGCCTGGAGCCTGCCTTTGAATCAACATGCACACTGTATTGATAAGGAAAGAAGAAACTGAAAGGTTTTTATCTGTGTCTTCAGATTGCCATTTGCTGTTACAGGATTTTGCCTTTACAAGTGCACCAAAGGGAGAAGAGAACCCTTCAGCACATAAACACTCCCCTGCTTTTCCCCTCTGGCTATGTTTTACTAAGTCCTTTAATGCCACCCTGCAAGCACCAGGACTCAAGCTACAGCTACTCCTGTTGAGAATCAGCTGCAGTGAAGTTAGCAGTGCTGGTGCTTTGTGTCATGTTGGATTCATATGTATGGGTCTCTGCAAGGGAAGTATGAAGGGTTACCCGCTGATGATGCATAGGTATTTCTGAGGATGCCATTAATGCGTTAGCCAAACACCGAGTGACCTTTTCCTAGAACTTCAACACAACATTTGCAGCTTAGAGAGACAGAAGATCTGTTCAGGACAGCAACACTAACTACTTTATTAAGCAACTTCTGACTCCTCAGGCAACTATCCAAACCACATATTTGTGACCATGACAGTTATTCTTCCTCTTTCCTTTAAAAACAAGTGCCGCTTCAAACTGTGTACACTATTACTCCACACCAGCACGGAAACATACTTACCTTATTTATACCTCTGCCTGCTGACATTGCTAATCGTACAAAGCCACAGCCAGTGACAGCTATGAAGAATATCTACACCTGGGTCTGTAAGTTCAAGAAGGACACTCTATCATGGCTTTACAGACCAAAGGCAGAGCAAGCTGCCCCTTGGACACGAAGAGTTCTCCCTGCTGGCTGATGTTGATCTGGTATTTTAAGAGAGGCTTGAAAAAGGGGAATCATTCTTAGTATGGACCTGCAGGTGAAATTCTTACTTTATGACAACCGCAATGCAAATGTCTGCCTCTTGCATTTACTGTCTAGACATCCTTATTGACAGTTGAGAGAAATAAGCACTTCACAGCAGAGTACTACTCATCCTAAGGCAGTTGGCTAAAATACCTCATCTCATCTCCAAAATAAAAATTCCCATCTCAGATGACTAATGATTCTTCAGCATCCTAGACACAAGGCTCCCCCTTCGCATATAAATTTTCAAAGTACAAGAATGAATACATCTTTTGAAATAAAAGTACATCTATCAGTAAATTTTCATTAAATTCAGCATGGTAGCATATCAGTAACAATGAAAAATGAAAAATGGCTGATCATAAAAGCAGGTGATAATCCGGTGGTACGAGTCAGTCCTTTTGTTACTCTGACAGTGCCTCCCTCAGTGCCTTTGCTGACCAAACTCATTGTGCCATCTTCCACTCATGCTCTATAATGAAAGGTGCCTCCCCAGGCAGTCTCTCAGAGCTACACCATGCTCATACTCACAAAGAGCATTCAATCTATCCATCCGTATGTCATACTGATGAATACATTAAAATAAAAAAAAATCTCTGGGCCACTACATTCCTACTGCTTCAACGCTAGCTTGAGGCCATGTGCGAGTCCCTCTATAGGGCCCCATTTCATCATCCTTAGTTATCGAGATAACAAATACAAGCTTTGGGTACTGGTGCTGGTGTCAGTCCTAGAAACATATTTCAAGCTGCAGTTATAAAATACAAGCTGAAAATTAGAAAAAGCATTACTTACTCTGCTGTGCTGAGTATCTGAGCTCCATAAATATGGACAGGCTCCTGCACAGAAATTAGCATGATATCCTTTAGGTTCATGAATCCATTTCCAGCCAAGATCCCTCTTGAAGTCAATATAAAGTGGACGCAGACAGCAATTATCCTGCACATTCCTGGGAAATAAAATACAGACAAACATGTCGGTCATAAGAAAGACAATACAAGGAACAAACATAATCCAGTTGTTTGCTCCCTGAATTATGCTTTACAAGCAGGTAAGACCAAGTCCCAAAAATACACAACCAAATCACATCAAGAGTAGATTGTAATGTAACTGAAATCAGATGCTTAGACATGGCAGGACTTGCTTGTACAGACAAAGCTAATGGTTTCTCTAGAGTATTTTTCCCTAGTAAGTGTTTTCCTCCAGGTCCTACTAAGTGGCCTCTCTGAGTAGGTGCGCACAGTAGAGGTGATAATTTAGCTGTAATTATGGGGCTGATGGGTCTGGGAATCATCCCAGATGGAACTCAGCCTCTGCTTTCTAAGGCCACAACCTTCTTCACCTGCCACTGTCTGCAGGACTGGAGACTGCTGGGCAGATACCTACTGCACACAGACCCTGTGGGTCTGCGAATGAGGGTCCACACTCTGTATAAATGCCAACCGTAAAGAAACATGATAAGCAACTGCATTACACCTCACAGGCTGGTACTGCTATGTAAATATACTGAAGATGGATGCATAGTTACCTAAAACAATAGGCAGCATCTAGAGCACGCTTCTTCCGCCGACTGGGCTGTTGCGACTCAAGTCTGTAGGAGGGTAATAACATTAGCAGAAGATGTGGGGTCTTCCCACTGTATTTTTTCCTATTGGACTTTAAAGCTTTCACATCACCACTGGAATATGTGTAGTCATCAATACCTTCAAAAAATACATTTTGGTGATAAACATTATGTTGCTTTTTCTTTACAAATTAAATAAACCATCTCTTTAAAAAAAATTCTCTCAGAAACTGGGGAATGTTGATGTCAGCTTAGCATGTATACTGGGGAAGTGGGGGCAAATTCCAACCCAAGTTCCCTAAGATATTCACAGTTCTCATGTTATCTATTGTATCAGCCCTCCCACATTCATGGCCATTTAATGGCATTTCAGTACATTCACCAGAACTGTTGAAATGAGTAACAGAAAAGATTACTTCAGCCACTGCATCTGCATTGCTTAGTTTCAAATGTCCCAAGCAGTGATGCTTTTGCTACTTCACTTATGACAGTATTCCCATCCTTTAACAGTTATGTACCTTTTAAAACCTTGTAACACCATTAAAGCTGCTCTAGATACTTCATCTGCATTTCCCACTGTGTACTTCCATCCCATTAGTTTTCTCTGTCACATTTACCTCTTTGTAAATTATCTGTCTCCCATTGCCACTTTATTTAATCTGCTATTTTTTCCAGAAAGTCAGTTATTCTAGTCCCTTCTTTTGTATAGGCATGGCAAGGACATTGATCAAAATATTTATTCTTGAAGTGGCAATCCATGATACCACATTTTGTATTTTCTCTTGAAACTCTTGTATTTTCTCTTGAAGACTTACTAGCTTCTTATCATGGCAATAGCACAGGCAAAAGATTTAAGGTATTAGCCTTTCCTAGGAGTCTAAAGAGCTCACATTATGCTTGTTGCTAAGACCCTTTTGAAAATTAACCTCCTGAACAAGATAATACTACCTAAAGAGAAAAAGATACACTTTTCATTTTGTAACATTTGCAATTACAGCGGCCAAATACCATACCAACAATTTTTTACACACAATGGCTTTAATCATACGTACACTACATGTATTTACTTAGAGAAAAAATTCCAACGCTGTGAAACAATGGTTAGAAAAATTTAATACTTAACAAGGAATATAGCCAAATCCTTGGAAAACAAATGAACCAAATCATTATATAGTTTAATAAATGTGAACTGTATAAACAGAATTTGGATTTGTTCTAATATAGCCATAGTTTTATGTGTATTGGTGGATGATAACTATAGCACAGTCAATTAAATAACAATTCCCTTTTTGAAACTGAAACTTGAATGGCGTAAAAACACAAAGGATTTTATGCGACCTTGATATATTTACTCTCTATCACCTTGTCTGCTGTCCATAAGAAGCACAAATATCCATAACCCTAACTATACATTGTTATTTTTTTAATGTCCACTTAATCCAAACTTTAAGTTTTTACTAAGCTGTCAGCATAAAAAATATTCTGTGTAACTAATATACAAATATGCTACATTAAATTCTATGCGCTAACGTAGATATATAGAGAAAATCAATGTTAACTAATGTAGTTCTGTTGACTTCATCTGAGACTCAGATTTCCACTGCTGGAAATAGTAGCACGTAGACCAGCACACCATTTCAGTTTCTTCAACTCACAATGCACTAGCAGTAAACCACTGCAGCATATTTACACAAGCCTGGCACCCATTGTTCAACTCTTCCCAAAGCAACTGATGCCATTGCTCAGAGTAATTTAAAATATTACTGATATGACCAGAAAAAAAAAAGAAAAAGAAAAAGAAAAAAATAACAAAGAGTAGCTGGAGAAATTTAGTGTGCCTGAAGAGCTGGAAGTATGTGTGCAGGTGCTTACAAAGACTGGGACCCTGTATAGTCAGTGAGGACAAAGGAAGGTGCTTCTTTAAGCAAAGCAGCCAACTGTTGCCTTACATATACTTTGGAAATTTGCCACAACAAGTATTGGTTAACACTCATAAAATGCACCATGCTCACACACATATCTACCACAAGCAGCTTACATGGGAGCCAAATACCATCCTAATTTGACTTTCCAGCAGTAGCCTTCTCTACTAAGCCTGAACCATTACAGTGCTAGGATGGACAGCAGTCCAAGGGTTTATTCTGAAAACATTCAGCAAGTTTTCTCATGACTATCAAACAATGGATGGTTTGTTGCCGTCCTCAATTAGCAAGTACCACAACATTTTTAAAAGTTGTTTTTCTTTCATTACCTGCAAATCTTGCTTCAAGCTCCTCACTTTTATTTGGGATGATATAATTATTGGAAGGCACGAAGGTGCAGCACGGACAATGTAAGCTTATCTTAAATCCAAGGTTCCTGTCTGTAAAACATAAAAGTAAGTGGAGTTGGTTTTTACATATGGAATGACCCTGAAATACTGCTGAGTTAATGGAGAAGCACTTGGGGCAGGAGTGAAGGCAAAGAGCACTTGTTGTCACCTCTATGGTGGAGCCACTCATGTACAGCCTCAGTGACATCAAAAGACAACCATTCTCCTTCAGCTCTTGTTTTAACTACTTTGCTGTCAATGTAGCGCTGTCCTGGTGATGATACTTCTTTAGATTTTAGAACCTGCAAGAAACAATAAATATGATTGCCTACAGGTTAACATTTACCTGTTTTTTATTAAAATGGACCACCAACATTATAAAATAGCAGAAGAAACTATTATAGATCAAACTTCTATGCAACAGATAAACTTTCAGGCACATTTTCAGAAAGTATTTTCTTAGGGTTTGGGGGGAGAAGAAGGTGATATAAAAACACCCTAATGAAATCAGCTTATGTTGCCAAGTAAAACCTAACATCACATGTTCCTTCCTAAGAGAAGTCACACAGAAAGACTGCCCTGAAAACTTGTCCTGCAACACAAGGGGTCAAGAGAATAGAGTAACTGGAACATCAAAAGAGGCTATTTTACCTTCTTCAGTAATATTTACACTGGTTAGAGCCTAATATCAGATGCTAAAGTGAAATCTGTACAATGTGGTCGGTACACACTGAAGATACTATATTGCTTACCCATAACTGATCTGCATGGCATTGCCTTATTAATGCTTCCAGCCTTCCCTCTGACTTCAGGTACTGGTCACACATTAAACAGAAAAAAGTTATTGTCCATACAGGTAACCTGGGGGGAACGCAGAGACAGCCTGGTGTGGATCATGACCACACATGGATTTGTGCAACAGGCGATGCTGCTTCCATCCAAACTTTGACGCAGGCTGTATTTGTATCTGTGTCAAAAGTTTCAGCAAAGCTTGCTACTGAGCATGCAATAAAAAAATACCTGTAGGAAAAAAAAAACCCAGCCCCTTCCTTTCAAGACACAGCACTGCATGCCTAGAATTTCAAGTGCCCACAGTCTTCCTCCTATCTAAACAATTCAGCGAGTGTTTTCCCACATATAAGCATAGCCTGCTATTATTTACCCAAACTCTAGGACAAAAACAACTGGAGTTCTGGCTGCTAAGAGGTTTCTGGTTTCCCAGTTATTACTATGTTGATAGTTTTGCGATGCAGGAAGCTGGAATGCCATGCAACATTAAGTCAATTCCAATCAAGATACCACACGATAACATCATTTTGTAACTTTTGGCATGCCAGCTGTGTGACTTCGTATATTGTTTTGGGTTCTTCCTCTCTTTAACCATCCAAGTCCATCTCCAAAGGAATAACTGACAATGTCTCATTGTTTCCTCCTATTTCCTCAGCCCAGACCAACCTGACATCTAGCAAACGCTGCTGGAATAAAACAATAGTGAAACTGCATAATACATGTAAAGAAAACTATTTCAAAAGAGGTGTGAAATTATGTCATCATGATAAAATTAGGCTTTTCATAATTAAACAGAAAAGCACGCTGGAAAAGGCCAGATTCTGTCTAACATGTAGAGTCTCTCTCTTTATTTAAGGGAGTGCTGGACCTCTCAAAGGTGGTGCAGCTCCCACAATAACATTTGTCTTATGAGAAGACAGCAGCATGACAAGTTCTTTGCCTTCTTTCTGATCAACACATTTAGCAAAAAGACACGAGAAGATGTTGGTCCAAGTCCAGAAAATTACAAAGTGCCCCTAGTAGGCGATGCTGAGCTCTCCAATAGACACTGAGGGCACTCAAACGTTGAACACTGGGACTCCTTTTCATGAGGCAACCTTCAAACAAAGTGTTTGAACAACTGTTTACAGAGAGTCTGGCAGCAGCAAGGGGACTACCATTGCTCAGAAGTGCCAGAGGGATGAGAGAATCAGTAATCAATGCTGGGAAAGTCCCAGAGAAGTACAAATATAACTTTGCCTTCCCCTTGGTCTTTATCAGGTCAACTCAAGTGTTTCTGAGGATGTAGTGCAGCTGTCATTGTGCAAAGATGTGTTGGGGGGTGGGGGTGTGAGGCAAATGGGACACAAGAACTTGGCTCATTTCTCTTCCTTTCTGCACAGTCATATCTTTCCAAAGACTCCAGAAACTGCATACCTCAGTTTTGGCAGTGATGTAAGGATCTAAAAGTAAGTAATGTGCCAAAAGCAATCTCCTGATGTTAACTATAATTGGTCTTAGATTTGTTCTGAAGACTCAGCTGCGCCTTAGTATCCAAAATAAAATGTCTCTATCCCATTCTCATTGCTATCAAAAGACAAAGTCGAGGGCTGGCAGTGTGTACCTGGCATGAAAGGCATTTGTAAAAGTACAAGAAATCTTGACTGCATGTATCCAATGGTACAAAGAAACATCCATCCTCACCGATGAACTGAATGACAAGAAAAGTGTTTGCAGGGTTTGAAACTGTAGGACAGGATGGACAGTACAGATTAGAAGAGGTAGATACTATCCCAACTACAGTATCTGTGGTATCTGAAAGTAAGGCTTCTCTCCATTTATGCTGAATGTTCAGGAAGAAAATTACAAAGAATAAGCTAAAAAGTCACGAATTAAACATGGCATAATTTCCATGATTGACATCATGGGTTAAACAGGCACTAGTGGTTCTTAGGCATAAGGCTTTTAAGTGTGGTGAGTGTCATTCTGAGTGAAATTAGCATGTCTGCTTCAATCTCCTTCTCCTAGGCTAAGTATCTTTAGAGTGTTAGGGTGATGTATGATCTCAACAACCCGATTGCTTGTAAGCAAGAACCATCTTCTAGCCTGGCTATTTCCATTTTTCCCTTCTTTTGCTGTTACATTGTTGCAAGTGTGGAAAGCTAATGATAATAAAATCCGAGGCTGGATCCTCAGAGTCTACCTGACAAAGGGCTTTTCACTTCTTTTCCTACGCTACATTCTGTGTTTCCATCCACACTGAAGCAATTGCACTCTACATGGCAGTTAACAGAGTGGCCTCTTTGTAGGAATCTATTAGAAATTTTTACAGCTACAGTATGTTCTTCAAATGAGTTTCCAGAAATTATTATGAGATAAGCATTTTAGGCTTTCTCTGCCATTTCCCCCCTTTGGTTTGCTTTTTTGTACTTTGCACTACATTTCTGGTCTTACCTTCCCCATCAGCAACACACCTTTTTCTTCCAGTACACCCTCAAGCTTATATTCCCATTGAAAAACTTCTCTTTCAGTATTTCCTATACTTTCTTCCTACTAAATCAACTAGTTTAGTTGCAAAAAAGAAGAAAAGCCTTTTCTGTGCCTTGCAGCTTTTGTGTTTGAAAGCTTGTCTGCTTCTTCCAACTATACTGACTGGTCTAAGAAGAGCTATTACCTTTACCTATAAACATTGCCCTGCCTTGCCTATAAACACTGCCTTACCTTTATGCTTAGCCCATCGCAACCACATCAAACACTGTTATCAGAAACATTGCTGCACAACTTGTATCTGCAGGAGCTAAATGCAGGTCTAAAAAGTAGAAGGCCTTTGTGCAAAAGAATTTTCAGTGCACTAAAAATATTAACAGAAGACAAGGCAGGGAGGGGCCGGGGGGAAACACAGGAGCGAAAAAAGACTGAGTTAAACTTCCCCTTTAATCCTTTCTCATTTCCTTCTGGCACCTTGTCCAGACACTCCCTCTTGAAGAGGTAGAAAGAGTTTGGTGGGGTTATGATGTGGATGGCTAGGGCTTTTGGGGTGGGGGAGTACTGTGCATCACCACCTGTATGTAGAAATGACAGATTCAATCATCTGCATGACTAGGAAACAGAGTTTTCACATACACAACCTCACCTCTCTCACTTACAAGCAAAACACTTCAACACCTGCATTCACAAGTAGCTGATGATGCACAACAACTGCATGCGTGCAGGTGCGAGCATGCACACCTTCACACATGCGTGAGTGAAAGCTCAAAATCAACAAACTCAAAATGCGGGTTGTGCAAAATCTCTGCAGCTTCTGAACATGAGAATGTCCTTCCAGGTATATCTGTTTACTTGGTCTCGCTTTCAACAGAGTGATAATGGAACACTGCCTTTTCTATTAAAGGACTATGCAGGGAACATATGCGTAGTGGGGATGAGCTGAATAGGTCGAAGTGTTACCAAAAGGTTATCCAGCAGACTTCTAGCCCAGTATGCACAGTAATTCAGTAGCAATGCCCTAAAATCTAATAACAATTTGGTTTTGTCTCCCCTGTTTTTGTACAGGATTCCTCCCTTTCACAGGAAATCAAATAGTTAGCCAAAACGCTTGTTAATCTACTCTTAACAAAGTACCTTGTACACTTAAGCCTTGCCTTCTAGTTATCTTTTTCTACAGGCACTGCTAGCCTTGCCCTCATCATTTTTTTTTTCTATTCTGACTCTTCTTAAAAAACACCTGGTGAAATAAATTATCTTACAAATACCCATGAAGCATCTCTAGGTATCATATACGTGCAGCTGCTGCCAGCAGATCAAGGAAAAACAAACATGTGAATATACAAATAATGTAGTTAATTGCAGGGCAGGGCTCATGAAGCTGCCAGACAGATGCAAACAAAGCATTGCTCTTGCTTGTACAGCTACACGTTTAGAAAGCCCACTCAGGGATCTCGGTGATGACAGCACTCACATGCCACCCTCATCAGCCCTGCCATATTTCTGATAATTTATAAGTCCTTTGAAATCTTCTCTTCATTGATTCTGTACAGGTGTTCTGCTCAGTCTTCTTTGCCTGTGCTCTTCCTTGTCTGTTAGAGGAGGCCAGACCATGATGCTAGCTTGGAAGTATATTCCAAATCAGTGGTGAAAAGCTTTCGTTTTGTCACAAACTGGTTTCAGAAGAACGATAAGAAAGTTTCCAGAAAATACTGCTCTATAAAATACTTCTGCTATCTGCTATGCTTATTTTTCAGATCAACTGGAGAGCGTTAACTGGTATATTTTTTTTTTAAAAAATAAGTATCAAGTAGCTGAAATCTTCATTAAAATACTAGAGGCTGAAACTGTTTATTTATATGCACACATGTTAAAATGTAACTATCACACAGTTCTGAGTATAAAAATAAGGACAAGGATTGTCTTAGTCTGTATTTTATAAACTGTAAAGTACACTATATAATTCACGATAACAAACAAAGAATAAAGTCTGCAAAATTAGCAGAAACATGGCTTCTTTAAGAAATGGGGCATATCAGAGGCCGATATA